CCGCCTCAGAACACCCTCTGGGATCTCGGGGATGCGAGGTACAGTCCCTGCCAGGCTGCTGAGGCGCAGGGCTGGGAAATGAGAAAGGCAGCCCCGTGTCAAAGGGAGTGCTTTTGAAGTCCCTGCTTTCATCTCCAACCAGAAGTGACAGGGAGGGATAAAATGTGATTTATCCACCAGCCCAGGAGACTCATTGCCAAACACAGTAGCCATGCCAGGCAGCAGCCTTCCCAGAGGGAAGACAGACAGACAGGCAGACAGAAGGTGGAGGAGACTCGGGACATAGAGGGCTGTGTGGAAGGTCTGCTGGGCCAGAGGAAGCGGGGCTCTGGTGCCCAAACACCCGTGCCCTGCCCAGCCTGTCTGGGATAAGGAAGCAGGCGCCTTGGGGAGGATGGCTCGAGGGTGCTGCTAGGAATCAGGCCGCGAGTTAGAAAGAAGGCCAGAAGTCTGGAAATAAGGCCTCAGCTAGCCAGGAATAAACCTGAAGTAGTACCAAAATTAATAATTATTATGATTGATAAATTTTTAGTGGTTAAATTTCAGGTCCCAGCCCACTTCACTCCCCCCCCCCACCCCGGCCAGGCCCTCACCCCACAGGGTAGCGAGAGAGGTAGGTAAAAGGGACATGGGCACTTTTCAGGCCACTTCCCGAGAGGCTGGGAGATTGCTCTGGATCCAGAATCTCCATCTGCTTTTTTGCAAAGAGGAGAAAAAGAAGGCCCACTTGGTCCTGTTGGTTTAGAATGAAAGGAAACAGCACAAGGAAAATCCCAAAGTGGCGTCCGAGATTCAGAACATTCTCCCTGCGCCCTCTTCATAGCGTGCCTGACCCCATCTTGTTCTTGGGGTAAGTCTTGAATGTGTCTCCCAGCCTCTACTTTGGCTGCTCTATGAAGCCTTCTGGTGGCCCAGCACCACTTAGCCACACCCTCATGGGTCTGTCAGAACATCCACCACACTGGACAGGCGAACACTAACCATATCCACGTTTGGGAGAAACCCCCAAGTATTTAAATCAATATTGGACCAAAGTCAAATGTCGCCACCATGAAACAAATTTCCAGCATCCAGAAAGAAACCCTCAATATTATCAAAAATGATTATCATTTCCATTTGGTGACTGAGAAAGATAAGTGCCAGCTTGGCATCTCAGGTATTTCGGGAAGAGGCATCTCCCGCAGCCCAGGACAGGGTCTCCAGGACGTTTTTTCCTTCCACATTCACATTTTGTACTATGTCTTGACAGCAGGTGGCTTGTCATGGCATCATTGCACATGACTTCTGAGGTTTTTTCCCCCCTCACTGACTCCTAAAATTGACCTATTTCCCTTAATTTGAATCTTAAAAAATGTAAAGAATTTGCAAATAGGAAATAGGTTTTGAGCCTAATTGGAATTTACAAGTAAAACACTACATGCACACTGTAAAGGTTATTTTGTTTAGTGTTATGAATTCTAATATACCAAACCATTTTGCAAAAGAATTATGTTATTTTCTTCATGTCTCACTCAACATTTTTACAAACATTTCTATGTTCATGAAGGAGACAGGTGCCTCCTAGGACAACCTAGTTAACACTTTTCCATTCGTTGTAGTTAACTTTGTGAAGGTTCTCAATTAATGCTTTTACCACCAAAATAAGCAGCGTTCAAAAAAGATCATGAATTTCAACCTTACAATAAATATGCACTTAATTCTGGACTGATGGAACACATGAAGCACATAGATTTTTTCACTTTAATTTCATAGAATTTTTCATAGAATTTCATTGTTTAAAGTACATCATTTCCCTCCCACTTTCACTCTCCTAGAGCTGATTAACTCCCTATCCTTATCTCAAAGGGAATACTTAAATAGAATCAACCCTTAATGGAATGCTTAGTGTGGCTGATATTGCCATAGTGACGTCAGGTGTTGGAAACCTAGTTGCTACCAAGAAACCTAAGAGGGTCTGAAATGAGGCTGACGTGGGCAGGCTCATGTGGAAGGCTCTCACCTACTTCGTCGCGCTCCCTGGGGTGGCAGTGAGCATGCTGAATGTCTTCCTGAAGTCGAAACATGCAGAGCATGAGAGGCCGGAGTTCATCGCCTACCCCCATCTCCGCATCAGGTCTAAGCCTTTTCCCTGGGGAGATGGTAATCATACCCTATTCCACAATGCCCATGTGAATCCACTGCCCACCGGCTACGAAGATGAATAAAGAGAACCTGGACCATTACCTAAGCACTGGGACCACAGTACTGGCTTGGACCATTATTCTTCACGTGGACCAGAAAAGTTTACAGGACCTTAAGCTCACTTTGTTTCAAATGCTGACTATTAAACTTCTCTCCCATCTCGACTGTGGCAGGAGATGGCTTAAATAAATAACTTGTTTGGTCATGAAAAAAAAAAAAAAAAAAAAAAAAAAGGCAGACCCAGAGCAGTTTCAGGTCAGAGCTGGTCCAGTGGACAGGTCCTGTGACCACACGTCAAGGGCCTTTTGGGACCTCTCCCGGGGTGGTGTCCAGGCCCAATGGCCTGCTGTTCTCTTCACGTGGTTTGGGTGCAACACGTGTTTCTGCCAGCATCTATCACACCAGGGGTGGCCACTGCCCTGGGCCGTGTGCCATCTCCATGCCGCTCCGCTCCCTCAGTGCCTGCTTCTCCACTCTGCTTCCTCCCTGTGTCCCGGAAGGCTCCTGGAGGTGGAACAGGCTTGCATGTCGGAGTCCAGGCCTGACACCTGCTTCTCGGCAGCAATCACCACATCCACCTTTGGCCAGAGCCCTGGAGAGCCAGTTCTCTTGGGGACGGGAACTAAAGGGTCGGAAGAACATCAAAACGGAGTACGGCAGTTCAGATCATTAGCTGAGGGTGTCTGCGTTGGCCCGTCATTCGAGACACGCAGAAAGGTCTACGGAACTCACTAACTGAAAGACTCGAAGAGTTTTCAGAATCTAAAAAATACATATTTTAACAGCTGAGTCCAGAAGTGCTGCTATATATATCTCCAAGAATGTCTGCATTAAACAGACAATGCCTGAGGTAATTATCGGTTTCCATGTGTCTTTGTCTCCACCAGACTGGAAACTCTTTGAGGTAAAGGACTGAGTCTTTCTGTCTTTATGCACCTAGTTTTAAATGTACAACCTGCCGTATCACAGGCGCTTGATAAGCCCCAAATAACTGACTGAATGAACAGTGAGGGAAGTGTCAAAGAACCACAGTCTCCATCCTCCATCCGGCTGGGGATGGAAAACACAGGCTCCGAACACGAGGCGCCCGGTACTCCCCACAGATCAGCTGCTGTCCAGTGGAGCTATGGGCCCAGGGTGGGCGCCAGACTCCAAAGCAAAGAAAGGAGGTGCTGATTCCTTCGCTCAAATCAGAGGGAGTATGTACCAGCAGAGCCTGCACACGGGCGGCGGCCGCAGCCTGGGACCCCAAAAGCCAAAGGCTCGCGCGTGCTCTGAGGCCCCAGCGCCCGGCCATGCGGGCACTGCAGAGGCACATGGGCCCTGGCCTGGGGGACTAGCTCTCCTGCACCCCCTCCCAGGGAGTGGGCGCGCATCACCTCCTGCCTCTCGCCCTGCTGCGTCTCCCCTGGACTCTGCTCTCTGGCCCCCACAGTTGGCCATGATCCTGGACTATTCTATATTTAACTCTCTAAGGCTCATTAACTACAAAATTCCTAACTTTACCACCAGACCCATTGAGAGGAGTTATTTTTCGGCTACAATTATTCTTCCTTTTGAGTATTAATTTCCTTTAACACTTACCCTATTAATCACTTTAACAATGAAATTAAGACAATTATTTTAATGAGGTAATGGGTGATAAAGAGCGGCTGGTACACATTCATTACACGTAGGCCAGGGTGTCTTGATAAGAGTCTGCCTTGTCAATAATATATTAGGTGGGACTGTGCTCCGGGAGGGTCAGGCCGAGGACTGTTCTGTTTCACTGGTTTAAATACGCTGTTTCTGCCAGTGCTGCTGCATTTATGCTTTCGGGCCCCCTGACGTGGAGTGCCAGTCACCGAGAGTGACGGGCTGTTATTTTCCTCTGGAATCCAGAGCCCGCTCCGGAGGCTGCTGCTGCCGGGAGCCAGCCCCAGCCCTGCCTGTCTGGAAAGCAGTCTGCCTGCTCCACACCTCCCTTCCCATCTCTCCTTCTTCGCTCACCATGCCCTTCCTCCCTTTCCTGACTTCCCTTCTCCTCACCCCTAGCTGGGGAGGGCTGCGGTGTAGGTCAGTTTTCCGTTTCACCCCCCACCTTGGTTTCCTCTACACCAAGAGGCCTCCTAAGGTCTCTGCCCTCTCCCACCTTCTTTGTTATCCTCGTTCTTACCAACAGGGGGCTTCTGTTACCACATGATATGCAGTGACCAGGCCCAGCGAGCCAGGAGGAACAGGCCCAGGCACAGGGGGTGGACGGCACAGAACCAAGAATCTTGACCTCTCCTTTAGTCCCGAGGGGCTGGAGCTGGCAGTGCCCCTCTCTTCCTTGTCTCCCCCTACCCTACCATCTCCACCTTCCTGTTGGCTGGAATTCACACAAAAACTCTTGCCACAAGGAGAAGCCCTTTCCTTTGCCCCAGAAGTGGAAGGAAAACTAGCATGGCTGTTCCCGAGTGCAGACACCATGGAGCTCAAAGCAGAGGCCCAGAGACCTGCTTACCTGTGCCCGCCACAGTGGTATTCATAACAACCCAACGAGCCAGCAACATGGGCGAACAGAATGTGGCGTGTGGAGTATTACTCAGTCAGGGGGAAAACAAGTAATGCTGCTACACGCACTGGCTACATGCACTGGCCTAGATGAACTTGGAATGTTAGGTGAATACGGCGGGCATAACGGGCAACCATATGGCATGGGTACACGGCGCCTAGAATATGCGCACTCATGGAGACAGAGGGAAGGACTGCAGCTAGGTTATGCCTTTTGTTTGCTTTTCAGATAACCCGGGTTGATGGCGCCATGATACAAGGACAGGGTTGGACCTCCTCCGGTGCAAATCACCACGTGGCCCGCCCCAGAGCACCGCGGCTTCAGGTACCACGGGGTCCCCCTTCCTTTGCTCCCACAGCACTGGCCTCTGCTAGCAGCCCCAATTCTTTAGCCATCTCTTGGCTTTGTTTTGGTTCAGTTTTGTTAGTTCCTTTGTTTTGCTTCTCAATGCTCCACATGTAAGTGATCATCTGATCCGGCTTCCTCCCTCTGGCTCCTCCAGTTCCATCCCGTGGTTGCCAATGGTAGTTGTTCACCTTTGCTTTTTATAGTTGACCAGTGTCCCTTCCTGTGCGTGTCCCATAGCTCACCACTCCAGTCGTGGTGTCATGTGCACGCTGGAGTCCTGCGCTCGGTGGTGTCGTGGGCTTGGTGGAGTCGTGCGCAAAGTGGAGCTCTGGGCTTCATGGTATCGTGGGCTTGGTGGTGTCGTGGGCTCGGTGGAGCCCTGCGTTCGGTGGTGTCGTGGGCTCGCTGGAGTCCTGCGCTCGGTGGTGTCGTGGGCTCGGTGGAGACTTGGGCTCGGTGGAGTCGTGCGCAAAGTGGAGTCCTGGGCTCGGTGGTGTTGCTCACTCGGCTGCTGTACCTGGTGCTGCAGTGGACACAGGTGACCACAGACACCTTCGCATCAGTGTCTGTGCGTTCTCTGGCTCAACGCCAGGGAGTGTGATGGCTGGCCTGACGGTGGGTCTATTTTTAATGTTTGAGGAACCTCCGTTCTTCTCCCCTAGGGTGAGGCCAGTCTACGTTCCCACCATCTGTGCACACCGTACTTCTTTTCCTCCCCACCCTTGCCAGCCTTTGTTGTGCTCGGTCTTTTTGATATGGGCCCTTCGCCCTGGTGTCAGGCATTTCTCAATGGCAAGTGACACTGGACATTTTCCATGCATGAGTAGGTCTTTGGAGAAGTGGTGTCTTCAGCTCCTCTGCCCTGCCTGTTTTTTTTTTTTTTTTTTTTTTTTTTTAGTGGGTTCTCTTTCCATTGAGTGCTCTGAGTTCTTTGTAGACTTTGGATATTACCCCTTATTGAACCTATAATGTGCAAATATTTTCTGGGGGGTTATCTATCATTCATGGGCACAGTTTCTCCTTGAGAAGAGGAGATGGGTACTAGGATGATTTCACATTAAAAAAATAATGAATACCACTGAACTGCACACTTAAAAGCAGTTTACAAGGAAACCTGTTATTATATATTTTGTTCTAGTAAAAAAAAAGTGAAAAACATCAGAAAGAGAAAGAATTTAAACTTCTTTTTTTAAGGTAGTTCCTAGTGATTTTGGTTATGGAATATATTACACAAGCAGAGCCATACATCTGATGATTTATCACACGGCAAGTTCCATTCAAGCCAATAATGAGGTCAAAAAAGAAGTGACCGGCCCCTAGCAGTGCCGCCTCCTGTGCGGGGGTGGGGGGGGCAGTGGCTCGTTTCTGGCATGGGCCTGTGCCCTCGTGGACACTGCTCAGACGCAAGGAGGCTCCTGTACCTAGGTGGAGCTGCTGGGGCCAGGCTATGATGTTCAGGACACTCTGCCAAGCTGCTTCCCAGAGCGGTTAGAGCGATTCACACGTCTACCCGTAATCAATGGCAGGAAACTATTTTCAGAGTGCTTGCTTATGCGCCAGCCACGGCGGGGAAAGAGGACAACAACCTAGAGAGGGAAGAAATGCTGAGGCGGGGCTTGTCAGGGCTTTCAAATGCCACGCACCCCCACTGTCTCCATGCACCCCCAACTCCTACAGCTTTTGCTGCCACCTGACTCTCCGTGCGGCTGGGTGCCCAAGAGGTGCCTGATAGGTCTGTCCCTACCTCCTCCACCCCATCCTGACCTTCAGCTACTGACTGGTTCCTATTTGCTCATCTCTAGTCCTCACAAACTTTGAGGCATCCTCTAATTCTCACCCAGAGAATCCCCACAGAATGGGGCTGCAAAGAGCCTCCCAGGACTCTGCCTGAAGCCACCAGGTTGCAGGTTCCCTACCCTGCTCTTCTCCCACCCACCCGCCCTCCCCAAGAGCCCTCCCTGCATAGGTCACTTGTCTCTCTCTGCTTCAGGGAGGGAAGCGCAACCTCAGAAAGGCACCCTGACTGTTGAACACTTCAATGCCCCCCCCCCCATGAGTCAGCTTCCTCGACTTGCATACAGAGGCAGTGAATTACTGGTTCCAAAGACCCAAAATTCCATTGTTATTTAAAATTAGGATGGTGCAGATGCCACTCAACTCCAGACATGACCACTAAGAAATTCCCACCAACATCACAAAGTCAGGAAGACCTAAGCTCCTATCTCTGTGTTGCATATATGTGCATGTGAGTGAGTGAGAGAGAGTGAGAGAGAGAGTGAGAGAGAGAGAGAGAGGGAGAGAGAGAGAGAGGAGAGAGAGAGCAGAGAGGG